TCTCTCTTTCTACAATGATAACGTCATAAGAATATAACTTTTTTTAATTTTTAAACTCATTTTTTTAAAGTTTATTTTAAAATAAGAAAATTATATTTATTTTAATTATTTTTTTATAATTTAATATTTTATTTTATTTTTTTCTTTATATTTAGATTATTCTCTCTCTCTTTCTTTTCTCTTCTTCTTTTTCTCTTTCCTTCTCTGCTTTTCTTCTCCTCCTTCATCTCTCCCCTCCCTTTTTTCATTTCCTTTTCTTCTTCTTTACCCTGTCTCTGTTTCCATCCCTCTCCTCTCTTTCTTTTCCTCTCTCTTTTACTTCTCCCCTCTTTCCACACTTTCCACCTCTCTCTTTTTCTTTCTCCCCTTTTCTCTCTCCTTTCTCTTCTGTCTCTCTTTTTCCCCTTTATTCCTTCTTTTAACCTTCCTTTTCCCCGCTATCCTATCCTCCTCTTTTCTTTCCTCTCCCTTCTATTCTCTCCTCCCTTTCATCTCTCATCTGTCTCTCTTTCTCTCTCTCCCATTCTCCCCTTCTCTCTTTTTCTGCTCCCTTCCTTCTTCGTTTCCTGTTTCTGTTTCCATTTTTCTCCTCTCCTTTTTCTCCTCCCTCTCTTCGTCTATTTCTTCCCTTTTCTCTATATTTTCCCTTTTACTTTTCCTCTCTCATTCTCTCCCTTCCTCTTCTTTCCTTCTTGTTTCTCTCTGCCTTTTCCTCCCTCTTTCCTCCCTTTTTTCTCTTCCTCTCTCTCTCTTTCACTTTACCCCTTCCTCTATTCTCTTTTCCCCCCTTCCTCTCTCCCCTGTCTCTCTTTCCCCCTCTCCCTTTTACTGTATAAATTAAGTAAACATGAAAAATGTATATATATATATTTTTTTAAATAATTAAAATTCTCATTTTAAAATTATAACAATTTATCTTTAATGAATAATTTATCTATTTTATAATTTAATTTTAAAAAATTAATTTAAAATTTATTAAAAATTTCTCTAGAAATAAATGATATTAATGGCATAATATATACAAAAATCTTCAACCCTGGACAAGGTAGAAGTTGAAAAATGTTGATGAAGGAATAGAATATTAATAATGAACATCATTTATTTCTTTAATAATTATAATAATAATAAATAATAATAAAATTTTAATTATACTCGACACGCTTTAATTAAGTTTTAATTATATTTTGATTGGTTTGCTACCCTTTATTCCTTCTTTACTGACTCCTGCTGAGTTATGAGCTTTTTAATGTTCTCTTAAGATGTAACTGTAAATTATACGAAGTTACTAACGTAAAATTCTCACATGTTACGCGGTTCTGTGTTAAGTAAACCACCATAACAACACCTAATATCCTTAATGTTATACATATACAAGGCACGTAACATTCAAGTGTGTAACTGTATAACTTGCCAGTGTATNTATTGTCATAAGAATATAACTTTTTTTAATTTTTAAACTCATTTTTTTAAAGTTTATTTTAAAATAAGAAAATTATATTTATTTTAATTATTTTTTTATAATTTAATATTTTATTTTATTTTTTTCTTTATATTTAGATTATTCTCTCTCTCTTTCTTTTCTCTTCTTCTTTTTCTCTTTCCTTCTCTGCTTTTCTTCTCCTCCTTCATCTCTCCCCTCCCTTTTTTCATTTCCTTTTCTTCTTCTTTACCCTGTCTCTGTTTCCATCCCTCTCCTCTCTTTCTTTTCCTCTCTCTTTTACTTCTCCCCTCTTTCCACACTTTCCACCTCTCTCTTTTTCTTTCTCCCCTTTTCTCTCTCCTTTCTCTTCTGTCTCTCTTTTTCCCCTTTATTCCTTCTTTTAACCTTCCTTTTCCCCGCTATCCTATCCTCCTCTTTTCTTTCCTCTCCCTTCTATTCTCTCCTCCCTTTCATCTCTCATCTGTCTCTCTTTCTCTCTCTCCCATTCTCCCCTTCTCTCTTTTTCTGCTCCCTTCCTTCTTCGTTTCCTGTTTCTGTTTCCATTTTTCTCCTCTCCTTTTTCTCCTCCCTCTCTTCGTCTATTTCTTCCCTTTTCTCTATATTTTCCCTTTTACTTTTCCTCTCTCATTCTCTCCCTTCCTCTTCTTTCCTTCTTGTTTCTCTCTGCCTTTTCCTCCCTCTTTCCTCCCTTTTTTCTCTTCCTCTCTCTCTCTTTCACTTTACCCCTTCCTCTATTCTCTTTTCCCCCCTTCCTCTCTCCCCTGTCTCTCTTTCCCCCTCTCCCTTTTACTGTATAAATTAAGTAAACATGAAAAATGTATATATATATATTTTTTTAAATAATTAAAATTCTCATTTTAAAATTATAACAATTTATCTTTAATGAATAATTTATCTATTTTATAATTTAATTTTAAAAAATTAATTTAAAATTTATTAAAAATTTCTCTAGAAATAAATGATATTAATGGCATAATATATACAAAAATCTTCAACCCTGGACAAGGTAGAAGTTGAAAAATGTTGATGAAGGAATAGAATATTAATAATGAACATCATTTATTTCTTTAATAATTATAATAATAATAAATAATAATAAAATTTTAATTATACTCGACACGCTTTAATTAAGTTTTAATTATATTTTGATTGGTTTGCTACCCTTTATTCCTTCTTTACTGACTCCTGCTGAGTTATGAGCTTTTTAATGTTCTCTTAAGATGTAACTGTAAATTATACGAAGTTACTAACGTAAAATTCTCACATGTTACGCGGTTCTGTGTTAAGTAAACCACCATAACAACACCTAATATCCTTAATGTTATACATATACAAGGCACGTAACATTCAAGTGTGTAACTGTATAACTTGCCAGTGTATGGAGTATATTACACTTCAATGCCTTTATAAGGATGTATACAAGTTATATTACATATTAAAACTGTATAACACGTATAATATTAAGTATTTTTATATATAAAACGGTTGTAAACCGTATATAACACGCATAATCTTGAAGAGTTTTAACGTTCTCTTAAGATGTAGTTGTAAATTATAGGTTGTTGCTAACCCCTTATACGTGAAATTCTGTGATGTTACGTTGCTTTATGTTACGTTAACGCTTGATAAGAAGACCTAGTAACCTCAATGTTATAGATATACTAGCCTCGTGACCTCCAGGATGTGTAGTTGTATAACTTAGAGATAACAGTAAATGAGGTGAAAGCTTTCTTTTTTTTTTTTTCTCGTATGTCAAACCTCTGAATAACGGCCACTGATAAGGAATATAAATTTGAAGAGCATCTTTTCTGAATTTTTAGCAATTAAGGAGCACCTTTCCATGTTTCTAACAATTAAGGAGCACCTTTCCATGTTTCTAACAATTAAGGAGCACCTTTCCATGTTTCTAACAATTAAAGAGCACCTTTCCATGTTTCGAGCACCTTTCCATGTTTCTAACAATTAAAGAGCACCTTTCCATGTTTCTAACAATTAAGAAGAGATTCCATTAATTCGAGATGCTCTTTCAATGTTGGAAACACGAAAAAGTGCTCTTCGAATTCGAGGTCCCCCTTAATTGTTAAAACATGGAAGGGTGTTTCTCAAGTTTGAGGTACACCTTAATTGTTAGAAATATAGAAAAAGTGCTCCTCAAATTTCCAGCTAATACGATAGATTTACTGGAAAATGTGATAAGTATAGGCACACGTAAACACTTAATCACGTAAAGTAAACACTGCATTTTTATCAGTAATATTAATGTTATAATACGAGCATTTTCTCTCCTAAAATGGGCACCATTTTGCTAACAGTTCATTAAAATTACGAAACTAAGGGCTTAGTTACACTTTTCTGTATTAAAAAAAACACTAAAATCTAAAATAATGTTTCTCTTTAACAATTTAATGTCTTTATATTTGCATTTTTATAGAAAAATATATATATATATTAAATTGCTCTTAGAGTTTAATAGAGATCAGATCTTAAGGATCTTCCACTGCATTTGCCACCGAAGCAACTGCTGCAAAAACAAACAAGCCAACAGGAAACAACTTCCGGTGATTGACTGCTCACAATTGACGTCATTTCCGCTAGATACCGAAATAAAAATATATTAGCCAATCATGAAGCGTGTCTCTCTCTCTCTTTCTACAATGATAACGTCAAAAATGTAGGAGTGAGAAGGCTTTATCTATCGAACTTCAATTTAATTTTTCTCCTCCCCTTTCTTAAATTGTTTCAGCTGTTAAGAGAAATTTTTTAAATTGCAAAAATTAACTGTCAGAACACGGAAAAATTTCCTTAGACAGGATATTTAGATAAGAATTAAAGTTTTTTTGAGGGGGACAACAAACCTTAATTTGAAGGCTGTCACAAGGTGCAAATGTGTTTTGAATTACTTTTCTGGCTTATTTTTTTTTGGTTATATTTACGTTTTTATATATAGAAATCCCTTTTTTCTTACTTTATAATTTGACTTTATTCCCTTTAAGACGCGTTTTATAACCTTTTCACAACCTTCTACCCTTTCATACCGTCTTTACAGCCAGTTTCACTTCCAATTCCAATACCGTGAAAGACTTTCCTCTTTACTTTATCAAAATATATCAAAGTAAAGCCAGTGACTGCACCCAAATTTATTTTTCGATTCGCATACGCACAATGGTAACTCAATATAATATTTATAAAATCTAACAGTACATTCTCCTGTATAGAAAATATGCGTATAGATGCATCTTTTCTGTTGTTCTGTAAGAAAGGATTTCCCCTTTAATTCTGTACAAAATATCCTTCTTAAATTATGTAGAGTTTCTGCTGAATTCTGTACAGAAAATGTCCTGCTGAATTTTGTACAGAGAGGGTTTCTAGTGAATTCTGTATAGGGAATGTCCTGCTTAATCCTGTACAGGGAGAATTCCTGGTGTATTCTGTATAGGGAATGTCCTGCTGAATCCTGTACAGGAGAGGGTTTCTAGTGAATTCTGTATAGGGAATGTCCTGCTTAATCCTGTACAGGGAGAATTCCTGGTGTATTCTGTATAGGGAATGTCCTGCTGAATCCTGTACAGGGAGAATTCCTGGTGTATTCTGTATAGGGAATGTCCTGCTGAATCCTGTACAGGGAGAATTCCTGGTGTATTCTGTATAGGGAATGTCCTGCTGAATCCTGTACAGGGAGAATTCCTGATGTATTCTGTATAGGGAATGTCCTGCTGAATCCTGTACAGGGAGAATTCCTGGTGTATTCTGTATAGGGAATGTCCTGCTGAATCCTGTACAGGGAGAATTCCTGGTGTATTCTGCATAGGGAATGTCCTGCTGAATCCTGTACAGGGAGAATTCCTGGTGTATTATGTATAGGGAATGTCCTGCTGAATCCTGTACAGGGAGAATTCCTGGTGTATTCTGTATAGGGAATGTCCTGCTGAATTCTGTACAGAGATGGTTCTTAGTGAATCCTGTACAGAGATGCTGTATTCAATTGTTCCGTATTCGAGTGTTCCATACAGAAATGTCATGTTCATCACGAGAAACGATTCTGTTTAATTATTCTTTACAAGTAAACATTCTGCCGAATTCTTCTGATACTCCATTATATAAATTTTTGTAACTTCAGATAGTTACAAAAGTTTACATAAATTTCTAAATATATTATAATTTCTTAGGTTATTATTTTAAAACATGGGATTTTTTATTAAAGGAAAGGGTCACAGTTGGGTGTCTAAAGTCATTTGTCAATGTGAATCACGCTTGGGATGACAGCTGCATCTAATTACAAACAGCATAAAGAAAACCAGGAATTAATCGATATTTCACCTCCTCGACAACTTTATTAACAAACTTTGTAACTTTATCGAAATTATATTTTTAGTTTTTAATATTTTTTTTTTCATTCCAGAAAATACATCGTAAATAAATTTTATTTTTTACGATAAAATGTATTTAGTGTGTACGGTGAGGGGATGGAAGAAAAGTACTTTCGTCCCATTGAACGAATCAATGATTCGTGGAGAGGATCTTGTTTATCTTTAAATTTAACCTATTTCTAGCTTAAAACTGCTGGGAATTTTTTAGTTTTTTGGTGTTTTATGCGTATTTTTATATGTTCTTCCACGTGATAAAAGTAATATCTCTATATATATATTCGCGTTATATCGAAGTAAATTTCAGTAGTTTCTCCTTTCTATAAAGGGAAAGAAGAGAAACTTTAACCGGTTAAATTTTATACGGTTCTACACAAATTTAATCTTTAAAATTCGAAGGACAAACAGAAAGACAGACAGACGGATAGACGGATAATTTAAAAATTGCAGCCCGATAAACCTCTTTTCGTGTGGGATTGAGTTTGTAAAGAAACTGTAAATGCTAATAACCAGTAAAACCTCTATCAAGCCTTATCCCACTCCAACTCCTCACCCCTCTTGACCTTTAACCCCTAAAATTTAAGGGTGTCAATGCCCCATACACAGAAACAATCCTGCCGAGTATCGAAATTTTTCCTTCATCCAGTCTTGAGATATAGGGGAGATCGGGGCAAGATCGGCATGTTAAGCTTTACTTAAATTTTGTGTAATAAATACTGCTGTAAACTGAAAAAAAAGCTTTGCATATTGTCTATTGGAATGTTACCTTACTATAGAACTGGTTAAAATCAGTTTGGAAATAAAAATAATTAAAATAATTACAACTTTACAAGAAGAGAGAAATTGAC